TGTGTTTGTAACTCTGTGTGTGTGTGTTGCTGTCTGTCTGTCTGTCTGTCCGTTTGTGTATCTTCTGTCTGTCCGTCCTTGCACACCCCACACGTCCACACGTCCACACGCCCACACGTCTGCCATCCGCCCATCTGACAACATGTGTGGCTGCGTGCAATCGTGTCACACTGTGCACCGTCTCATCCCAAATCATTCATGATTCGTCGGCTGCCTTTGTTCAGGTCACACCCTTGTGCTCACAGCTCACGTACGCTGGCATGTTGAGCGAAACCGTCCCCGTCACTTGCGGCACATGCGAAGTGCCGACGCCTCCTGCATCGTCGTCAGCGGGAGATGCCAGCAGCGAGAAGGATGCCCCGCGCAAACTGCAGCTCTCTGCGGAGCAGGATCACGTGTACGCCAAGCTCCGCGATGTGAACTTCTCCAACGTCGCCCCCATCCTCAAATCGTTTTCCAAACAGATGACCAAGTCCTTTGATGAACGCAACACAAATGACTGTACGCCACACCCGTAATGTGTCTCGATGTATGTGTGTGCATGTCTGCTTGTGTGTCTGTTTGCGTGTCTGTGATGCTTGTGGGTGTGCGTGTTTGAGTGCGTTTGAGTGTGTGCATGTGCGTGTGTGTTCGGAAATGTTTTCTGCAAACTTCAGTGCCAGATGCCCTCACTCAGAAAGGCTTTGTCGTGCGCTCCCGCTGTATGCCGGTATTCCCCAGTGACTCAGCTAGCGTCATTCGTGAAGCGCCTGCCAGCACTTCAGGTGTGTGTGTGTGTGTGTGTGTGTGTGTGTGTGTGTGTGTGTGTGTGTGTGTGTGTGTGTGTGTGTGTGTGTGTGTGTGTGTTGTTTTCTGCAGGGGGTCCTGCACGTGTTCGCCAGCCCAGTGCCTTTTGCGTGGCTCATCAGTAGCTGTCACCACTGTACATGAACTACAGGGGCAGAGCCGGTCCCTCGCGGCTCATGTGGACATGTCAGTGCACATCAACCGCATCAAGAGCACAGACGTCGTTACAGAGATGTTGGAAGCAGAGCTGTCCCTTGTCATGGGTCATGGCAAGCAACGTATGTCACGTGCGATCTGTGTGTGTGTGTGTGTGTGTGTGTGTGTGTCACGAACTGTGTGCTTGTGTGAATCTGCGTAACTGTGCGTGTACGCGTGCATTGGTGCGACTGTGCACGAATGCGCGTGCGCTTCTTTGGTTGCTTGTCTGCGCTCACAAGCTCTCGCTCTTTGTTTGGATGCGAGCAGTTGCAATTGAGTTTATCCAAGAATTGATTTGTCGGCAGTTCAATGTCAACGCCGTCCTGCGACTCCTCCTCCTTCTCAGGTATGCACATGTCTGTGTGTGTCTGTGTCTGTGTTTTCTGTGTGTCCAGCCTGTTCCATTTGACAACATCGCTGCCACCCTGAGTCCTGGCGTCTTTATTCGCACACTTGCTCCTGCACTCACACACTTTATCCATCCTGTACTTGGCAGAATCACAAACGTTGTGTCTGACAAAGCGTGGGCTGGACTGAAGCAGATGACCCTACATGCCTACGGGTACAAGTTCTTGCCGGCGTTCTCGGCGATGGAGTCTGTGACCGACTCAAGCGTGAGTCCACACTAATTCGTGCAACCAACGTGTGAGGTTGCTTCCGAGACACCAAAACAACAACCACACCCTGCGCATGCAGCATGTGACTTGCTCACCCGCTGAAACATCCAAACTTGCCGCTGTTTTGTCCCTTCTTCGCTTCTTCAACTGGGTTCAGGCGGTGAACGCACACGTGCTGACGCAGCTGAGGAAGCGGCTGTCACTCGCCGTGAGTGAAGACGACGCGCCAGACCAGGTGCTCTTTGGCATGCACCCACTATCGTCCCGTTTCATGGCAACGCTGGCATCTGCACAACACGACAGCGACCTTGCAGATCTCCAACTCTGGTTTGGTGCAGACACCCCCTTCGCAGTCCACACAGACTTGCCGTCGGCAGCGGACGCGTCACAGAAACCGAGCAACGACGTGGTTGTCTGTTTCCTGGGTGGAACCACGCACGCGGAGCTGACAAGCATGCGCTCTCGCCTCAAGGCTGGGGACTTCAACCCCATCTTCCTCACAACAGATGTGCTGACGGGTGACGGCCTTATGAAAGGATTGTATTCACAGTTTACGTAGAAAGACCGTTTGTCGCTCCCGTGAATGTATGTGGAGAATGTATTTCGAGTACTTGACACCTTTTTTTCTTTTTTTTTTTCTTTTTTTTTTTCTTTTTTTTTTTTGGTTGGGAAGGAGACGTCCACCACCATTCAATTAAATAGACGCTCGAACATGCAAAACAAAAAGGAAAAAATAAAGTTTTGCCCATCGTCGTCCAAACGTTACACTTGCCCACCCATGCAATTTGTAAGACGAGTGTGTCTGCAACATTAAAATATCGGTGCTGCCCTCGTAGCGACTCGGCCAGCTTGCCTGGATAACTTAACAGCCGAAGCTCCCCTGACAACAGCAAGGGCCATGTACTCCCTCCCTGTTGGTGCAGGTTGTGCAAGACAAGGTGCCCTTGATGTAGCGAAGGAGGTGCTTGGCAGCCTTCCAGTGGTCCATGCCGAAGTGCTGCATGCGGCGAGACAGGATGGAGACAGCCGCCGAGATGTCTGGACGCGTCATCGTCGCAGCATAGAGGAGGGAGCCAAGCAACTCGCGGAACGGCACGTCCGGCAGTGGCTCCTCCTTGTCGGCTGGCTTGTCGACGTAGCCCGTGCAGAGCGGCGTGCCGACCGGCTTGCAGTCAGCCATGCCGAAGGTCTCCAGCACGCTGCGCAGGTAGTGCTCCTGGCTCATGGTGACGGTCCTGGCCTTGCGGTCATGCCGCACCTTGATGCCGAGACATATGTCTGGGCTGCCCAGGTCCTTCATCTTGAAGCGCTTGGAGATGGAGTTCTTGAACGCGGCCATGTCGCTGTCGCTGTCGTGTGCACGAACACAAACAATCTAAACAATGAGCAGCATGCATACATGCGCGCAGAGCAATGCTAGGCATGGCATGAATGCTTGCAGGCAAGCATACACAACAGACAACACTTCACAACACTGCATGGCACGCACACATGGCATCCGTCAAGCATGACGGGCATGCACATACACACATTGCACACATGGCACACAACTCACGTGTGTAGGGGAAGGAGGAGAGGAGAGGCAGTTGGCACACATGCCAGCAGAGAGGAAGGGATGTTTGCCAACGGAAAAACCACAAAGCAGGTGTTGTTGGCAAACAAGACAAAACCACACGAGAAGGCAAATTAGGAAGGACTCAACAAAACTCACTGACTCTCAACAGAGTGTCGCAAGAAGCAGCGCGACAACGGAGCAACAGGCTTCACTGCACAGGCACAGCATCAACATGGTCAAGACGCAGCAACCTTCGTCGCTGCCACAGCTACTACACCCACGCAGCTGCATGACCCACTCACGTGGCTTGCAGACACGGGTGCTTCACACCACCTCACCTTCGTCAAGGACGCCTTCGTGGAGCTGACACCGCACCTGCAACAGCACCATCCACGCCACATCACTGCGTTTGGCGGCACACGTGTGCCCGTGCGCGGTGTTGGCTCTGTGCTGTTGCATGCACGCACGACGAGCGGAGCTACGATGCAGATTGTGCTACAGGAGTGCCTCTACGTGCCCGAGGGCCAGGCCAACCTCATCGCCCTCAGTCGTCTGACCAGGGACAGCAGCGGCAGGCCAACGGGCCACTCGCAGCGTGATGGCGCTGATGGGCACTACGTGCGCTTCAGCCACGGAGCCGAGGTCAAGCTGAAGGAGCGCAACAGCCTCCGATGCTGGCCCATTGTTGCTGTTGGTCCACCCACAGCACACGGTCTCACCGCCGATGCCTGCAAGCAACCACAGCAACCCGCAGCAGCTCCTGCAGCCCAGAGCAAAGCACAGACACCATCGATGCATGAGGTGCTTGGCCACCGCAACGACAACGACGTGCAGCAGTACTGCAAGCTGATGGGCATCGACGATCGCAACGCCATCAGCAGCAAGCAGTGTACAACGTGTGCAGTGACCAAGAGCACTCGTCACAGCGTCAGCAAGCACGCGGAGCGCACACAGGTGCCCGGCGAGCGCATCCACGCCGACATCGTCGACTGGACCGCGGACTCGCCCACGGGCAAGCGCTACAGCCTCGTCATCGTCGATGAGGGCAGTAAGCTCTTACATGCAGTCCATCTCAATGCCAAGAAGGACGCAGTTGCCGCGTTCCAGTCTTTCCTGCGCGAGACCAAGCTCCCCATCTCGCCCACAACAACAGCACTCCAGACGGATTCCGATGCCATCTTCCTCGGAGCTGACTTCCAGGCCATCGTCAAGAAGCACCTGAAGCAGCACCAGCAGTCCCCGCCGTACACCCAGGCGCAGAACGGCATCGTCGAGCGACAGGTGCGCACCCTCTCCGACATGGTGCGAGCCATGATCACGGGTGCAGGCCTTGACGCATCGTACTGGAGCCTCGCCTGCAACCACGCCCTGCACATCCTCAACAACATGCCTCGCCCTTCCCTCCACGGCAAGACACCGCTGCAGATTGTCACGGGCTCGCTGCCCAAGCACGTGCCGCAGCTGCACATCTTCGGGCAGCCGGCCGTCGTCCACATCAGCACACAGCGCGGACGCCTGCAGCCCAAGGGTCGTCGAGGCATCTACGTCGGCTACAACAGCAGCAGCAACAGCCACCTCGTCTACTTCGCAGACACAAACACTGTTGTGTCCTCCATCCACGTCCGCTTCCTTCCCTTCTCCAAGGCCGATGATGTCGTGGATGAGGGGGAGGAGCAAGTGCAGACATCCACGACATCGTCCATGCTCCAGCTTCCCAGTGCACGTGACAGCAGCAACAGCACCACTGACGGTGAGCCACCAACGGTTCACATCGACGAGGACCAGGACGAGGATGTCGAGACAGACTTCCTGCTCACGGACTTTGACGCCGACAGCAGCAGCGACACCAACGACGCCAACTACGACCCCGACACAACAGATGCAAGCGACACCGAGGCAGGCGCGTTCACAGCAAGCAGCAGCGACGACACCAGCCTCACGGAGCCTGCAAGCATCAAGCAGGCACTCAAGAGCCAGCAACGCAAGCAGTGGACTCAGGCATGCTTGGAGGAGATCGGGGCCATGGAGCGCAACGGCGTCATCAAGCTCATCCCACGCAGCGCCGTGCCACGGCAGCACACGCCTCTCAAGTCGCGCTTCGTCTTCAAGGTGAAGCGTGATGCGGAAGGCACGCCGACGCGCTTCAAGGCACGCTGGGTCGCCAAGGGCTTCAGCCAGCGACCGGGCATCGACTTCGACCAGACCTACGCCCCAACCCCAGCAGCCAAGACCATCCTCACTGTGCTCGCCGTCTCCCTGCAACGACAGCACCAGCTGCACCAGCTCGACTTCAAGTCGGCTTACCTGCAGGCTGATCTCAAGGAGGAGTTGTACATGGAGCTGCCGCCGCACTTCACCGACATCGGCGACGGCGCTCTGTTGAGACACGACAGGTGGTGTGTGTGTTTACTGTAGGCAAACGCAACAAACAAGAACACAAGAAGAATGAACAAGCACAACAAGCTGCTGCCAAATCAACTCGGGCAGCACGCTCAAACAAACACTAGACAAGTGCACACACAGTCAATGACGCTGTCAAGGCGACATGGGCAGAGTGTGCACGAACACAAACAATCTAAACAATGAGCAGCATGCATACATGCGCGCAGAGCAATGCTAGGCATGGCATGAATGCTTGCAGGCAAGCATGCACAACAGACAACACTTCACAACACTACATGGCACGCAGGCATAGCATTTGCCAAGCATGACGGGCATGCACACACACACACACACACATGGCACACAACTCACGTGTGCAGGGGAA